AGATATGACAACAAAAGCAGAAGCAATAAGAGACAAAATAGATAAATTGGACTTCATCAGAATTAAAAGCTTTTGTGCATCAAAGGAGTTTATCAACAAAGTGAAGAGACAACCTAAAGACTGGGGGAAAATATTTGGGAACCATATATCTGATAAGGGTTTAACATCCAGAATATGTAAAAAAAATACTACAACTTACAAACAAAAAGTCTTATAACCCAATCAAAAAAATGGGCAAAGGACTTGAATAGAGATATTACATCGAAGAAGTTATACAAATGGCCAGTGAGCCCATGAAAAAATACTCAGTGTCATTAGTCATTAGAGAAATGCATCAAAACTATAATAAAATACCACTTCACCTCCACTAGGATGGCTATTACCAGAAAATGGAAAACGAGTGCGGGCATAGATGTGTAGAAATTGGAACACTCATCTGTTGTTGATGGGACTGTAAAAAGGTACAGCTGCTGTGTAAAATAGTTTGACAGTTTCTCAAAAAGTTAAGCATAGAATTACCATAAAACCAAAAGCCAAACCCAATGCCATCTAGTCGATTCCAATTCATAGTGACCTCATGTGTCACAGAGTATAACTGAGCTTCATAAAATTTTATTGGCTGTAATCTTTAGGAAAGCAGATCACCAGGCCTGTTCTTTCTGTAGCATTGGTGGGTGGGCTTGAACCATCAACCTTTCAGTTAATAACTGAGCACAAACCATTTGTGCCTACCAGAGAAACTAGAATTACCATATGGCTAGAATTCCACTCCTAGGTGTATACTCAACAGACTTAGAAACAGGGACGCAAACAGGTGTTTGTACATTTTGATGTTTTCAAGTATTCAGAAATAATTTTCAATAAAAAATACATATTTATTTATGGATCAAATATTTCCTTAAAATTTCTGTTCTCTGCTCGTGCCATCAATTTACACACAGTAAATATTTAATAAATGCTATAACCCTTCATCTGATGTAATCAGGAAGTTAGCTCTTCCGGAAAAGTGACTTTACTAAACTTGTTGCCGTTGAGTCAATTTCTACTCATAGTGACCCTATAGGACAGCATAGAACTGCCCCATAGGGTTTCCAAGAAGTGGCTGGTGGGTTTGAACTACTGACCTTTGATTAGCAGCCATAGCTCTTAATCACTGTGCCACCAGGACTCCTCCATCCAGAGTATAGGCAACTTAATTTAGCTATTTATTGAGGACACAAGAAATGTGTTCCAGAAACTGCTAGGTAATGCACATACATCATCTCCAAACTTCGCAATTTTAAGCATGAATAATCTAAGATTCAGAAAAGATTAAGTAGCTTTCCACAAAATTTTAAAAGTGGAACTATGAAGGGAGGCAGGGCTAAGATGGCAGAGTAGTTAGATTCTTCTGGTGATCCCTCTTACAACTTAGACCTGAAAACACAAGTGAATCAATAATATATGACAATCTAGGAGCCCTGAACATCAAAGGAAAAGTTGAGGAATTGGACTGAGTGGCAGGGGAAGGGAGAGACAGTTCAGAAGCAGCAAGGAGTTGCCAGACCTGAGCTGGCAGGAATGGGCACCCTGTGGGCCACATTGGCTGGCGTGCACAGTGAGGTGGGAAGTGGTGTTCGGGATGCGTTTTTACATCAGGAGAGACCGAGCAGCAGAGAGGCTACTCAGGTTTCCAAAACCAGTGAAAAGCGGACTCAATTGGCAAAAAATAGTATGTGCATCTAACCTACCGCTAGGATCAAAAAACACCCCATTTGGGAAGAAACTCTGTCCCATTTATCTGTTTCCTTCCTGCTCTGCACCCGTCCCGGGCCGGATTCAGCAACTGCTGCATCCCCTGAGTCGGAAGTAGGACCTGTCATGCACCCTGAGCCATTCTCCCAGCCTTGGAGAGGGAACAAATTAACAAACAGGAAAAAATAATCTGCCAGTTCCCCTAAGCCAGGAACTCAGGGCAGGCATAGCTCCATAGGCACAGGCATAAAGGGTCCGCAGAGTTTGAATGCCTTTCACCCTTGCATAGACCTGTGTGGACCCATTTCAACAGAGTAGGCCCTCATTAGCACAGTACAACAGGGTATATATACATCTGAAGCCTAACTTCACGGTATCCACTATACGGTGGAGTGTCAAGTTCGTGATATTTGATACCACTCTGCCCATTAAGCAGGGTTGTCACCTACCCACATCAGGGGACTGAAGACTGGTGGCTCCACCCCATGCGACCTAGCCACCTGTGACAGGGGTCCAAGAATAAGTGGTGCCTCCTACTTATTTGGTGCTTCCTTAGAAAGCTAGAAGTACCATATGATCCAGCAATCCCACTCCTTGGAATATATCCTAGAGAAATAAGAGCTGTCACACGAATAGATATATGCACACCCATGTTCATTGCAGCACAGTTCATAATAGCAAAAAGATGGAAACAACCTAGGTGCCCATCGATGGATGAATGGATAAACAAATTATGGTATATCCACACAATGGAATACTACGGAACGGGAAAGGACAATGATGAAGCTGCGAAACATCTCATAACATGGATGAATCTGGAAGGCATTATGATGAATGAAATTAGTCAGATGCAAAAGGACAAATATTGTATGAGACTACGATTATAAGAACTCAAGAAAAAGTTTAAATACAGAAGAAAACATTCTTTGCTGGTTACGAGGGTGGGGAGGGAAAGAGACAGGTATTCACTAAATCACTATAGTAGATAAGAATTATCTTAGTTGAAGGGAAGGACAACACACAGTATAGGGGAAGTCAGCACAACTGGACTAAACCAAAAGCTAAGAAGTTTGCTGAATACAACCAAACACTTCGAGGGACAGAGTAGCAGGGGCGGGAGTTGGGGACCATGGTTTCAGGGGACATCTAGGTCAATTGGCATAACAAAGTTTGTTAAAATGTTCTGCATGCCATTTTGGTGAGTGGCATCTGAGGTCTTAAAAGCTAGCGAGTGGCCATCTAAGGTGCATCGGTTGGTCCCAACCCACCTGAAGCAAAGGAGAATGAAGAACACCAAAGACACAAGGAAAATATTAGCCCAAGAGACAGAAAGGGCCACATAAAACAGAGACTCCATCAGCCTGAGACCAGAAGAACTAGATGGTGCCCAGCTACCACCAATGACTGCCCTGACAGGGAACAAAACAGAAAGTCCCCAACAGAGCAGGAGAAAAGTGGGGTGCAGAACTCAAATTCATGTAAAAAGATCAGACTTCATGGTCTGATACTGGAGGGACCCCAGAAGACATGGCCCCCTGACTCTCTGTTAGCCCAGAACTGAAAACATTCCTGAAGCCAACTCTTCAGACAATGATTAGACTGGACTATTAGACATAAAATGATACTCGTGAAGCGAGTACTTCTTTGCTTAAGTAGATATGTGAGACTAAATGGGCAGCTTCTGTCCAGAGGTGAGATGAGAAGGCAGAAAGGGACAGGAGCCGGTTGAATGCACATGGGAAATCCAAAATACGGGATGGAAAGGAGGAGTGTGCTGTCACATTATAAGGAGAGCAACTAGGGTCACATAAAATATACATATAAATTTTGTATGAAAAACTAACTTGAAGTGTAAACTATCACTTAAAGCACGATTAAAAAAAAAAAAAAGAGTAACCAAAAACAAAAAAACAAAACACAAAAAACAGTGGAACTATGAAAGAGAGCGATCTGAACTTAAATCTGCCTGATACAAAACTTTCAAACCTACCTTGGTCCTTCAGCAAACTAAGAAGTTAAGTACAGTCATGTCTAATTTCCATTCCAGTAAAAACATTTTTTGGAAAAAGCATGTTGTTGCTGTTCTTTGCCATTGAGTCTACTCTGACTCATAGCAACTCCATGTGTGTAGAGCAGAATTGTGCTCAGTAGGGTTTTCAAAACTGTGACCTTTTGGAAGCAGATCACTAGGCATGTTTTCTGAGGTGCCTTGGGATAGATTCAAACCACCATCCTTTCAACTAGTAGTCAAGCGCTTAGCCATTTGCACCACTTGGAACCAAAAAACGCATAAACCCTCATAAAATGGAGGTTGAATAAATTATTCTCTGAAATTGACAAGATAATTACATAATCGTCTACCTATACACAGGTAGAGCCATGACACATACCCAGCCAGTCAATAACTAGAAATTGTATAAGTTTTTTAAAATGACCATAATGTAAAATGTTTTAACCATCAATGATTTGACGATATACATACAATATATGTAGGAAATAAAGTACTGGTTATGTTAAACATGACTTCTCAATTATTTTTTGAGTTTCAGTTTGTTGATTTAATTCATTTTGATGATCTTTTTGTTAATTGACTTTTTTAGAAATAAAGGAAGCTTGTGTTTTCGTTTTCTTTAACTTTATTTTCATGCATTTTTTTCCAGTAAATATTTACTAAGGGCCTCCTATGAGTTCGGCAATGAACTTTTAATTTAGAACTAAAGGCACAGTATTGATACCTCCTCTCAGTCCTCTTCAGTCCCTTAGGTCTGAAGTTTAGAATCATGATCCTTTTTGTGAAACTACCTTCTGTTCACATCAGTTTGCCAGGGTGAAAATAAAATACCTTGTGAGAAAGTTCCCTGCTCCTGGCAAAGGATTTGAAGCTTTATTTGGAATTTTAGTAAATGTCTTCGAATCTGTGTTTATTGATTCCACATGATTAAGGCCCTACGTGGTCAAAACACAATAGGATTACTGGAGGAAAACGCCTGCCTTGCTTTATACTTGAATATCTTCCCAGATGAACTTTATTTTGGCTTTTAAGCAAGTTTCTAAGTTTGTTTTGACCTTGCATTTTTCTTATCTCTCTGAGGGGTGCGTGTGCGCGTGTGTCTGCACGCGTTCACATGGTTTTCCCAACGGGAGGTTGTGCGATTCTTTACTTATCTGTATAGAATATTTTATATTCACCTCCTAAGTACATTTTCACTTCAAATATTAGTATTTGTGCTTGAGGCCATATATGCAAACATGAATTTTAATAGTACCTTTGTTTGAATTCTTTCAACTTTCGCAATTCATCAGTGAATCATAGCAGAGCAGCCTGAAAATAAAGATCTGTAATTTACATCTTTGGTCATGTAAAATTAGGAGAGTTTAATTAATAGCAGATATTTGTGAATAAGCATATAGTTAGGACTAAACTTATCAGGACAATAACAACAAGCAAAATATCTAGAACCTCCGAAATTTACAAAAAAAAAAAATACATAGCAAAAATGAAATGTTCACCATGTCACTACAAAAAAAAAAAAGTGGACATTCTTGATCTGTTAAAGACAGGCAAAGTCTACACAAGGCTGGCTCCATTATTAATACCAAACCCGCTGGGACAGAGCGGAAGTGCCCCATAGAGTTTCCAAGGCTGTAATCTTTACGGAAACTGACCGCCACATTGTTCTTCTGTGGAGCGGCTAGAAGGTTCAAACTGCACACCTTTTGGTTAGCAGCTGAGCACTTGACCGCTGCGTCACCACAGCTCCTTCCCATTCCTAATAGCCTCAGCAAATGCTGGAGTCCAAGGTCAGGGCTCCATGTTTCTGTACTAAGGTGCACTTATCCCTGCTGCTCTGTGGATTCCATCATTGAGATCTGAGTACATAGAAGGATACTTGGTTTTTGTTATTGTTTTGTTTTGTTTTCTGTCCATGCCACAGCTAGGATAAGGAGGATGCCTCAAACGAGAAAAACAAAATAATACAGGAAAATAATGAAATAGTTCGTTTTAAAGGAGAGAGATTTTCAGGAGGAAAAGTAATAAGAGGAATGCTTTCAGTATTTGAATTTTGCACATCACATATGTAGAATCAGTTTTGAATGAGTATGCCCTGCTTTAATGAAATAGCTTATAATTCATCGTGTAGGGTAAACCTGGTATCACACACACCGTAAAGAAAGTCAAATATACGTTCCAAAATAAGTCAGAGAAAATCTTGTATAGCATTTTGACCCCAATTTTTGGTATAGTCAATTAATAATTTGGTTGCCTGCTTATTTTCTTAGATGATTATGAAATTTTTGGTAGCTCAGAACATAAAAGTATATTGATTTACCTAATAGAGTTTCATTTTGTTGATCCCATTATTTTGATTTTTAGTTATCACTCAACGGACCTATGAGGAACAGATCATAGTAATATAATTTTTGAAACAGTGTCTTGGTTCAAGTTCCTCACTTCATTAAAATTTAGCTTTGTGGCAAGGACAAAAAAATCCAGTCAAGTATAGACTCACTGAGTTCCGACTAAAACCTTCTCACCTGTGTCTTCAAAGCATGGAGACTGTATAATATGATCGGTAACATTGTCTGGTAGTTAGTACAGCAGCAAGTCACATGGCTCTGTTGCTTATTGTATTCTTCAACATAAGCCTTCAGCATTCTCGCCACAATGCAGTGCGGGTAATGAGAACCTAGAGACACCAATGAGAAGCAGTCCAGATAGCTGACTTTTTGCCTGCATCAATCGATACATGGATTTCTGAGTATTTAGAGGGAAGAACGGACTATTTATCTTTCAAAAATTAAGTTGTAAATATGTTGTTATGGAAATGGTGGAGGTTTGAGCTTTGCCATATGAAATAAAATTGTTATTACAGTTAGTTGCTGTCAAGTGAGTTTTAACTCATGGCGACCCCAAGTATGCAGAGTAGAACTGCTCCGTAGGGTTTCCAAGGTTGTGACCTTTCGGAAGCAGATCCCCAGATCTGTGCTCCGAGGAGCCCTTGGGTGGGGTCAAACAGCCAACCTTCAGTTAGTAGTCAAGTGTTTGTTGGTGCCACCCAGGGACTCCACGAAACAAAAGGGTAAATTAAAAACATTTCTTCTATATAGCAACGCAATATAAATGATTGGAACGTTATAATTTTAGTATTAATTATATTAGGGAATGTCACAGGTCACTGTCACTCCTGCACTCTGGTTAGACTGCCAAATCCGAAAGGACAGAGTTCGCATTTTGTATTTCCTCTAACCATAACATCATTGAGAACACTGTAATTCAGGAAATTCAGGAGTTCTACATCCCCTGATGGGTTACTGATTGAGTAAATGATGATCGGGTGTTCATAACTAAAGTCTGGTAGCTCAGTTACCATATATTGTCAATCAGACTTTTCTTTCTTGCTGTTCTTCCATGATACATGAACCAATTTCTATAGTGTTCTCATACAACTGTGGTCTCCTGTCTCAGAACTGAGAGGGTCTGCAGCAGCAGAAAACCCCTTGAGGCCTGACTTCCTTAATTAAATCACATTTGCTGAAAAAATGGTGTCTGATTAAGTGCAGTGGCCTGGAATTTTCCCCCACCCTAATCTGTCGTTATGGTCGTGTGTCATCAAGTCGATTCGGACTCATAGTGACCCTACAGGGCAGGGTAGAACTGCCCCGTAGGGTTTCCAAGGCTGTAATCTTTACTGAAGCAGACTGCCACATCTTTCTCCCTTGGAGTGGCTGGTGGGTTCAAATTGCCCACCTTTCGGTTAGCAGCCAAGAGCTAAACCACTAAGCTCCTTCGCTCTGATCTACAGCTTAAATAATTAAAATCACTACAAGTTTCTGGAGCCCATTTTTTCAAAACACAACAAAAATTATGGCTATAACCTTTGACTCAGCAATTCCGCTTCTAAGAAATAATAAAATGAATGCAACTAAATATGAGGAGAAACATTTTTAAAAGTTCTAAGGTTGTTTACCAGAGTGTTGCTTATAATAAAAACAGAACAATATAAGGTTAAAAAATTGGAGTTTGGATAATTAATATAGGAATACTCACTAAATTAATATTATTCAGATACTTATATGACAGTGTTACTACATTTGCTCACTGAATTATGTTAACTGTATTTAAAGTAGAAAAGGCAGCATAGCAGACAGTAAATCTCATATGATCCCATTTTTTAAAGAAGGAAACTGTCTGAAAAGCTGTGAAAACGTGATGTTAAAAGTAAGGGCTGCTTAACTGTGACAGAAATTTTCAACTAAATTCCAACTGTAATATTCTAGGAATATTTTAATTACAGTTTATTTTATAGTTTTAGAGTATAAATTCCAGTAAAAAATCGTACATATACATATTTATATATATACACTCAATTATGTTATTAGTAGTATTCCCAGTTTTTCTAACTTCACATTTATTTTATCTCTCTTGAACTATATTATTTTACTAAAGCTTTCAATTTCACTTTTCTTTTGGTATATTAGAATTTTTAACAGTTTGGCTTTATGTATTTGATATTGTATCATTTGTTAAAGGAAAAAGGTCAGAATCTCTATACCTAATGCAAGAGTTATAATTTTTACCAATAAAAAATGAACCACATTGACATGTCTAATGATATTATTCGAATTCAAAATGGTAATGTACATATTGACATTATTACTTTATTGTTTTTCTGACTGCTTGATAAATTGTCATCTCTTATTTTATTGGTAATTTTGCATTCCATTTTGATTTTGTTTCATACAAGTAGCCTATTATTTTTTTAAAGTCAAATCTAAGGATAAACCCATTTTTTGTTGTTGTTTTTATTGTTTGTTTACTTTTATTATTGATGTTTGTATTACTATGTCTTATATAACCAGTACCAGTTGCTGTTGAGTCAATTCCAGCTCATGACAACCCCATGTGTGTCAGAGAAGAACTGTGCTCTGTAGGGTTTTCAGTGGCTGATTTTTCAGAAGTAGATCACCAAACCTTTCTTCCAAGACACTTTCGGGCATACTCAGACATGCCAATGTTTTGGTTAGCAGCTGAGTGCTTAACTGTTTGCCCCATCTAAGAACTCCATCTTTGGACTTTCATAATGATACTACATTTTTGGTCTTTTAGTATGCAGATAATTTGTTGTTTTCCTTAGTCTAGTCTAGTAATTTTGAAGATATTTTGTTTTAATGAAGTAGTAAAGGTAGGTTTTTCACATTATTGAAATACCAAAACAGAAAATTAACAACATGCATTTTAGATTTAGCCAATATTTTTTCTTCCCTCCCAACTTTTCCAAAGGTACATTTTTAGTACAAACCTATTATTATATTGTTTAATTTTATGAAACTTAGCTTCCATTTTGCGCTCAACTGTATAACCATATATACTTTTTTCTGTTAAACCTCGAATGCATTGAGTGGAGTTAATCATTAATCCTGTAACATGCCTCTCTTATTTCATTGTTTTCCTCTCAGCCCCTATCATTATCCACTGTATTCAGTCAACTCATCAAAATGTGCTCATGAGTATTTTAAATATATTTTTGAAATGTCTCTTTGTAAAATAGCAATTTCTGGAAGAAGTGTTCTTAACTTTCAAAATAATAGCGGGCAATAGATACAGTTCTCTCTTTGCATTTTTTGACTCTTCACTCAAATAGGTATTTTTGTTTGTCCCATTTTTTTTCTTACTGTGTTGCTGCCTTCATTGGATTCATTCAGTGTATTATAACATGTAAGTTTATCTGTCGTTATTTTAGCTCGAGCTCATCAAATTATTTGTTTGTTTAGAAGTTGCAAAATATTCATCCTTAACTTTTCACAGTCTATTTAGCTTTAATATTCTACCACATCAAGGAAAATATAAGAACCTTGCAACTATGTGGTTTCCCTCTTCCCCATCCATTATGCTATAACTGACATGTTTTATACATACGAACATTATAAATCCACAACATGTTATAATTTTGTGTTAAACAGCCATACGTATTTCAAAGACATAAAAAAATGCCAAAATATTTTTCTTACGTTTCACCACTCTTCATTTCTTCCTGAATATTCAGCTTATCAGATGGTATTATTTATTTGTCCTAAAGACCATCTTTAGCACATTCGGTGGTACAGTTTTTGGCTGGTGATGAAATCTCAGTATCCATTCTTTGCGAAAATGTCTATTTCTCTTTCCTCTCTTGATGTTGTTCTGGTCTACTGCTCCCCATTGTTTCTGAGGAAATGTCTGGTTATTTTAATTGTTGTTCCCTTGTATGTAATACATTCTTCTCCTTCGGTTAATTTCAAGATTTTCTCCTTATACTTGGTTTTAAGCAGCTTGAATATGATGTACCAGATACGTTGTTTTTTGTTTGGTTGGTTTTATTTTTTTTGTATTCCTCATGATTGTAGGCAAATTAAACTATAGGAATGTGGTTTTTTTCTGCATTTCGCAAAATATTGGATATTGTCTCAGATTGAGTTCTCCAGAGGAACAAAACCAGGGAAGGGTATCTCTCTCTCTCTTTCTATCTAGAAAGAGAGGCTTATTTCAAGGAAATGGCTCATGCAGTTGTAGAAGCTGGCAAGTCCCAAATCCATGGGTCATACATCAGTCTGTAAGCTTCTCCTGACTCACGTGGTTGCTAGGGCTGATGAACCCAAATCAGCAGATCAGACAGCAGGCTGCTGGCTCATGGGGCTGCAGGAACTGACTAATCTCAAAATCTGCAGGTCAGACAGCAGGCTGCTGTCTCACATCCCAAGGACTGGAGGTCAGAAGATGAAAAGTCAGATGAAGGATTCAGAGGGAGAGTGAGCCTTGCTAAAACATCCATTTATATTCAGGAGGCAGGCCACACCCCCAAGGAAACACCTTTTCAACTGATCAGCTGCTCATAGCAGATCTCATTATGGAAGTTAATGGTATGCTTGCAATTCTTTGGTTATAATCATGAGGAAGGTTTATTAAACTTTTTTTTTTTTTTGCAAAAGATGGAAATGGGGATTTCTTGTAGTACTGAAATGTAGAGAATTTCTCTAAATTTGCCTACATGTTTTAATGGTGAATTATGGAGGGTTTTTGTTTTTTTTTTTTTTTTTTGGTCTTCTTTGCTGTTTTTTTTTTAATTCCAGAAGTAATTTTTCTGTGATATTTATCACTGAGGTTTTAGTGATACATATTATCCCTCATCTTAAATAAGCCTTTTTGGTCTTAATATCATTTTTTAGTAACTTTCTTTTAAACTATTTATTTCTGCTTCCTTTTCCATGTGAATTTAATATTAAGACAGTTTCCCTTTTTTTAAACCTGTCTCTTCAATATTTTCTCTTTTTATACTGTATGATTTTCATAGGACTGCCATAAGCAATTACCACAAACGTGGGGTCTTAATACAGGACAAATTTATTCTCTCACAGTTCTGGAGGCCAGATGTCCACAATAAAAGTACTGCACAGCCATGCTCCTCAGAAGGCTCTCTAGTGAAGAATCTTTTCTTGACTCTTACAGCTACTGGTGGCTCCTGATATTCCTTAGCTTGTCAATGCATCATTCCTATCTCTTCCTCAGTCTTCACATGGTCTTCTTCTTGGTGTGTCTCTGTGTTTCTCTCATTGGATTTAGGGCTCACCCTAAACTAGGATGACCACATCTTAACCCTTACCTTACTTATATCTGTAAAGCATTTGTTTCCAAATAAGGTCACGTTCTGAAGTTCTGGGTGGATATAACTTTTTGGGTGATGTTGTTCAACCAAGTATAAATAGCATCCAGTATAATAAGCATATGTATAAAAGAATATCTGTTGAAGTCA